AGTCCACATTCAGCTGTTGTGGACATAAAAGGCATTTGGCCCAATACAGGAGTGATGCATAGTTGTGATCCACCAGCACGTTTACAGGTGAGAGTTTCCCATCTCAACGATGTACTAAAGGCTGTTGAGAGTGCAGGGTGACCATCAAACAACTCTCTGCACAGTAGTCCTGGCTAGGGATGGAAGGAGCTCTCCCTCTCTCATTTTTCCAGTCTTAAATTCAGCTCTCCACATTTCTGCAGCAATTTCCAATAAACATTAAAAAAAACCTTTATGACAATTCACCAGCATTTCAGTGGTGTGACTTTCTCAGAAATACATTTTTGTACGCAGTTTAGACTCAGGTACACATTCTTGCAAGCAAAAACTGTGTGTGTGTGTGTGTATGTGTGTGTTTTCCAACCTTGCTCGTGTGCAGGAGTGCATATATATATATATATATATATATATATATAGGGGTGGGGGAGGTGAAAATCCCTTAGCCCTAGGAGTTGGCTTCTAGGCTCATGTAAATACAAAATAGTACTTTGTCAGAACGAAGATCAATGCAGAGAGAGAATGCTGCCTTGGCATGAAAATCCATGGGTTGCCTAACCCACGCGATTCCTCTTAATGGAGCAGTGTGGGTGCAGGAATGTGGCATTCCTTCCTGCACTGCTCGAGTAATACATGCATGGATCATTGATTCAGTATAGAAGGGAAGGTGTGCTCAGCAGTAGAACTGGTCACAGAGATGGGGACAGATTCAGTTCAGTTCCCATTGAAAGTTAAAACTAAGGTCCAGGAAAGCACAACAGTGGGAAGGATGTCTTCCTGTTTCCCAACAACTGCTACAGTGGTACCTTGGGTTACAGACGCTTCAGGTTACAGACTCCGCTAACCCAGAAATAGTACCTCAGGTTAAGAACTTTGCTTCAGAATGAGAACAGAAATTGTGCTCTGGCGGCACGGCGGCAGTGGGAGGCCCCATTAGCTAAAGTGGTACCTCAGGTTAAGAACAGTTTCAGGTTATGAACGGACCTCCAGAACGAATTAAGTTCTTAACCCAAGGTACCACTGTACCTGTTAAAAGTAGAGCAGAGCAACCAAAATGATCAAGGGGATGGAACGACTCCGCTACGAGGAAAAGTTGCAGCATTTGGGGCTTTTTAGTCCAAAGAAAGGGTGAGTAAGAGTTGACAGATAAAATCATGAATAGCACAGAGAAAATGGATAGAGAAAAGTTTTTAATCTTTTCTCATGATGCTAGAACTCATGGGCATCCAATGAAGCTGGCTATTGGGAGATTCAGGGCAGATAAAAGAGAGTCTTTCTTCACACAGTGCGGAGTTAAAATATGGAACTCACTGCCACAGGAGGCATTGATAGCCACCAACTTGGATTGTTTTAAAAAAGGAGTAGACAGATTCATGGAGGATAAGGCTAACTCTCCATGAATAAGGCTGCTAGTCATGATAGCTATGCTCTGTCTCCACGGTCGGAGGTAGTAAAGTTTCTGAATACCAGTTGCTGGAAACCACAGGAGGGGAGAGGGTTCTTGCGCTCGGTTCCTGCTTGTGGGATCCCCCACAGGCATCTGGTTAGCCAATGTGAGAACAAGATCCTAGACCAGCTCAGGCTATATGTACAGGTTTTCAAACCATGGTTTGCAGACCACTGGGTGATCCATGAGCTCCACTCAGAGCCATCCAAAAAATGTTGTAGAATGGACATGAATATCTGTCTTTTCCTTGGCATTTGATTTATATTTTTTTCCTTACAACAGAGATCCAAGGCCATTTTTGGATTTATTGAACAGGCTTACAAGGCCCTGGCAAAGTGCTCGTGATTTTCATACTACAGCGCTGGTGCAGTCTACTTGTTAGAAGTAATAATTTACCAGATCAACAACCCTTCTCAGTACCCTGACCCAAGAGCTGGTATTTTCATAGTTTACGTGCTGTTCGGTTGAAGGCAGTTGGACTAGATCAGGTTTCCTCAACCTCAGCCCTCCAGATGTTTTGGGACTACAACTCCCATCATCCCCGACCACTGGTCCTGTTAGCTAGGGATCATGGGAGTTGTAGTCCCAAAACATCTGGAGGGCTGAGTTTGCCTATGCCTGGACTAGAAGAACCTTCCAAACTCTACGGTTCTTTGATTCTATGATTGTAAAGACAACTCTGTTATCCTGCCCCCCTTCCCCCCCCAAGAGCTGCTGTGTTACCCTCTCAAAGCTTCCGCAGCTGCTGCCTCAAGGAGGACAAATGATCCCCTTTTCACATCGTGGAGCAGGAGGCGAGGAGCCCAGTTAAAAGGGAACAGGGCGCCTGTGGCTACTTGCTTGGGAGCAGGTCCAAAGGAACTTACCTCCTCAGTCCCACCCTCCCAAAGTGAGGGGGGTACGGAACCTCAACAAGGAATCTCCCTTTCTTTCCCTGGAAGAAGAAGAAGAAGAAGAAGAAGAAGAAGAAGAAGAAGAAGAAGAGGCTCTTGGAGACACTGTAGGGAGTTTGAATTTTTCTTTTTTGGGGGGTGGGGGAGGCTGTGCCATTGGCCCCTTTCCCCTGGGGGAAAGATAGAAAGGAAAATAAATAAATAAATTTGAAGTTGAAAAATGTATCCTCTTTCTTTGTTTTCGGTGGTTTTCTAAAAACAAAAACAAAAAAAAGCCCAACAACTTTGGGGGAGTAGTCAGTAGTTTTACTTTTTGGAATATGGCAAGCCTAGTTTTGAATTTGGTTTGGCAAAAATTTCACGGTAAAAACTGTACTTTTCTCCCTAGCATAAATAATAAATACTTAAGAAACTGCAAAGAGAACTGACCACAAATATTAAGTTCCTTCTATGTGAGATTGAAAACAGCATTACAGGTTGGGGGAGCACATCTGGCAACTTCAATTTCAGCTTCTCTTCCTGCCCCCCAGCCCAACCCCCAGTCCTCAGTTCTCCACATTTCCACATCAGTTTGCAAATGATTCTATTAAAAAACAAATCCTCATGATAACTTGTCAGAACTCTGACAAGAATTTCTTCTATTGTACACATTTTGGTATGCAATTTTGCTGAAAATGCACTCCTTCCTCAAGCAATTTCTCCTAATGGAATGAACTTCTGGGTGTCATTTTCACTGATACATGCATTTTAAAAGCACACTCTTAAGCTCGTATGTGCATTTTGGCACACATTCTGGTTGGAGAACTGCATTGCAAAATACAGAGAACTGCAAATTTCAAAGGATGGTCACATTTTGGTTCTTGTATTATTTCAGAAAGTTCAAACCCGGTACCTTTAAAGGCAAACTTGAACCAAATTCCTTCCCCATCCTGAATCACAGGATTCTTAGTAAGCGAACAGGGGGAGAGTGAAAATGAGGCCGGAAAGGACAGTTGTCCTCCTTCTTTGCATGTGTTGCATTACAGGACAGGGATGGCTCTCTATTTGTTGGTGGACTCCCACAAATCCCAGGCTGTATGGCCAATGCTTAGAGTTGTTGGTAGCTAGAGGTCCGGCAACATTTGGGAGGCCACAGACTAGTCACTCCTGTTACAGAATCAAATGCATCACATAGATCACCAGCAGTGCTATCTTCTGCATGTTCCTCAGAAGCTAAGCCCCACTCAGCTGAATGGGACTTGTTTCGAGTTAATAAATAATAGAAGTAAGCTCCACAGAGCTCAGTGAGGCTTACTTTCTAGTAGCCATGAACAGAATTGGGCCATCACTCTTTTGTAAGTAATCCAGGAAGATGAGCTGCATCTCCTCTCAGCAGCTTGTCATACTAGGGTAGCCTTAGAAACAAAGAATCATAGAATTGTAGAATTGGACGGTGGCCCAAGAGTAATCTACCCCAACCTCCAGCAATGGAGCTAGAGAATCCCTGTCAAGGATTCACACAGCTATTAATAATAATAGTAGTAGTAGTAGTAGTAATAATAATAATAATAATAATAATAATACCCCGCCCATCTGGCCAGGTCTCCCCAGCCACTCTGGGCGACCCCCAATAGAATATTAAAAACATGACAAAACATCAAACATTTAAAAATTCCCTAAACAGGGCTGCTTTCAGATTTCTTCTAAAAGTCAGATAGTTGTTTATTTCTTTGACATCTGGTGGGAGGGCGTTCCACAGGGAGGGCACCACTACCAAGAAGGCCCTCTGCCAGATTCCCTGTAGCTTTGCTTCTCACAGTGAGGGAACCTCCAGAAGGCCCTCAGCGCTGGACCTCAGTGTCTGGGCAGAACGATGGGGGTGGAGATGCTCCTTCAAGTATACTGGGCTGAGGCCATTTAGGGCTTTAAAGGTCAGCACCAGCACTTTGAATTGTGCTTGGAAATGTACTGGGAGCCAATGTAGATCTTTCAGTACCGGTGTTATATGGTCTTGGTGGCCACTCCCAGTCACAAGTCTAGCTGCTGCATTCTGGAGAATCCCTGATAGGTAGCCACCTAACCTCTGTTTCGAAACCTCCAGTAAAGGAGGGTCCACCACCTTCCAATGTAGTCTGCTTCACCATTGAATAAGCTCTTACCGTCAGAAAGTTCTTCCTAGTGTTTAGTTGGAATCTCCTTTCTTGTAACTTGAACCCATTGGACTGGGTCTTTCCCTCTGGAGCTGCAGAAAACTAGCTTGCTCCATGTGAGAGCTCTTCAGTCCATTTTTTGACTAAAAGCCCCAGCCAGGAGAGCCAATGGTCAGGGAGAATGGGAGCTGGAATCTGACAACACGTGGAGGGGACAACTTTGAGAAAGGCTGGGTTAATGTAAGGGTGTGTATTCCTATTATGTGACTTGTGACTTCTCTAGGCACTTTGGGGCCTAGATCATTTAGTGTGGTGGGGTAATTATTTTCTCCTGACCTTTTGATTCCTAGGTAGCATCTTGCTTCAAATAATCTATGTTCAAGAACAAACCTAAACTATATAGGAACAGAGGAAGCTGGGTCAGGTCATTGTTCTACACTGACTGGCAGTGGTTCTCCAAGGTTTCATGCAGGGGTCTCTGCAGGCCCTACATGAAGATGCCAATGGGGATAGAACCTGGGACCTTCTGTATGCAAAGCAGATGATCTACCACTGAGCTATGACCCTTTCCACAATATGATGTAATCCAGCACAGGTCTCCAGCAAGAAGCTGACATCCGCTTCATTTCTCAGTTTCCAGCTCCAGTTCAATATTCAACATTAGTGTACAAATCCCTAAAGGATTCAGGCCCCAAATACCTTAAAGACCACCTCCTTCCCCACGGACCATTTCGACTGCTGAGATTGGCAGAGTGGGGTTTCCTTGTATTTCCTCTGCACTCAAAAGCTATGGGGTTGGTGACCCAGGGGGAGAGGGTCTGCTTTGTGGTGGCCCCCTAAGCTGTGCCCACATGAGTAAGTTTGTCATCATCATTGTACAGCTTCCAGAGAATGCTGACAATGCCCCTCTTTACTCTGGCGTTTGATGCTTCAGGTGTATATTTTTTATGACCCACCTTATTTCTGCGATTGTAAGTTGTTTTAAACTGTTTTTTATCTTGTGCTCTAATATTGGTGTTTTAATGTTGCAATCTTCCCTGGAACATTAGGATGAAGGGTGGGTAATAAATAAATAAAAAGGAAAATTAGAAAGAGAGAGAAAAGAAACAGTATAAAACTTGAGCATGAATTGGTTGCGAGTAGCATTATTTCAGTTCTATCCTACCCAGTTCCTTTTGGTGCCATATTAAAATAGGGGAGGGGGCACCGTTAAAGCTGTCATAGTTGTGAGTTAGTGACCTTTCTAGGCTGATGAAACGAAATTACTCAAAAATGATTTTTTTTTTTAATTGGAACATTTGTTGGGGGGAGGGTTAAAAAAGGAGGTTGGTTATTTTTTTAAAATGATTCTTATGTGAGGAAGGGAAGAAGAAATAAATGTGCCTAATTTCCTTGCCAGAATGAGAAAGCAGGAAGAAGCCTTTCCGAAAAAGATTTAAACCTTTGCAAAAGAGGACAAGGGAATGAGGTAGGTGTGTCAAGAAGCTGCTCTATTCTCTGTCTTTCTTCTTTTCTCCCTCTCTCTCTCTCTCTCTTTTTAAAACTCGAGGTACAGTCGCTGTAGTTCCGCCTCAGTGACCACGAAACCAAGTCGGCAAAAGCTGAAGGACTCAGCTCCTGAAAGCCTCATCAGGACTTGTCATCGCTCTAATGAATATCATTTAAATTGCTTTGTATATTGGTGGAGTTTGGATGTCGATTTAATTTGTGCATGTGTTTTGAGTTCTTCTGCTTGGCTACGCTAACAGAGAGCAACAGCCTAATGAAAAGTGAGTTGGTGACAGTATGATGAGCTCCAACCCAATCAAATGGGTTTGAAGGGCTGTTTTGACAGGGATCCTTAAAGGAGATCTCAAGAGGGAGGGTGTAGCATTTTCTTCTCCTTCTCCTTCTCCTCCTCCTTCCCTTTCTTTTACTGTCGTGCAATTGTTTCAAGCTTCGGGCTCTCTCCCCCCCGCCCCAAAATCTATCAATGGCTGCAGCTTTTCCTATCCTAAACGTCAGCTTGCAAATTGATACATACATAACATGCTAGTGAGCTTCCCAGTGTTGTTTCATATATATGTATGTATATATATATATATATATATATATATATATATATATATATATATATATTCTTTCCAAAGTGCCAAACGTTTCAATGCATGTTGGCTTTGAAGTCAATATTCAAGTTGAAAATTGTTGCCCTGTGTTTAGTGTCCCCTCTTTTCTTCTGCTACAGTTCCCAGAGTGCTCCAGGTTCTTTATCAACATTATTATGGTTACCCCAAAGAGTATTCTGTGAGAATATGCTGCTTTGAACATAGGAATGGTGATTTCCTGTCACTGGGGCAGCACTTGGTGCACAGAACATCACTCTAGCATCTTCTTTGCCATGTGGTAGAGTCATGTGATACCACACAGCCAATAATGTTCCATGCTGGCTATAATGTCATGTCATGCATGCTAACACTAAGATAAATCAGTGTGGTAGGCCCTACTTAAGATTACAACGCCGAGTGAAGTTTGTGGGACTCTAGTGTGTGAGAAAGCCTTCTCTGCAGTGACACCCAGTCTCTGGATAACTTCTCCTTTGAAGTGTGTCTGGTGCTGATGCTAACTTTTGGTTGACAGCGGAAGATGCATCCACTACCTAGGTCAAAAAGCCACCGCCCCATAATGTGACAGGTCCTGCAGTGTGAAAAGAACATTAGAGAATGCTAGCATTATAACCAGGAAAACTAACGCAATATGCCCCATGTCTGAATGCTTCCTGGTTCTCAATGAACTGGAAATGTGGGGAAAGCAAGGTCTCCACCAAACCACGTGGTGGTTTCACCACCATCATTATTGGTATGCCACTTTGGGGCCCACAATGTGTCAAACAAGCAATAATAAATACAACAGTTCAAGAAGCATATTGAGAATACCAAAAAAACCCACCCCTACATCACCAATAAATACAGAAAATAAATTCATGCAGTGTTATGTAAAGCAATACAAATAAGCTAAGACAAGAGCTTTCAACAGGAGAGACAATAATGCCTGATGCAGAAATATGAGGTGGCTGCCATCTTGCACTGTGCATAAGCAAGCCCTGTCTTATTCTACCCTGCTCCCACCCCCTTTCTGTCTTCTTCTGGGTCCAAATGGACACATGTGCCAATGATTGCATGTCAATTGGATGTGCCTAAAATGACCACCGCATATATACAAAATTGGATGTGTGGGTGGGAAAGGAAGTCACTCTTCCAAAAAGATATGCTACAGGTGTTTGCCACAATCACCTTAAATGCACTGGATGGAAACTAAACTGTGTTCCCTGTCAGTTTTTAAATCACCAGCTTTCTCCTTGAACATCCTTTCCAACACTGTCATCAAGGCACTTAAGAACCTAAGAAAAGCCTGCTAGATCAGGCCAATGGCCCATCTAGTCCAGCATACTGTTCTTGCAGTGGTCAACCAGATGCTTGTGGGGAACATCTAGTGGTTTCCAGCAAGTGGCGTTCAGAAGCACTTACTGTCTCCAACTATGGAGGCAGACATAGCCATTGTGGCTTGCAGCCATCAGTAGCACTAACCTTCTCCATGAATTTGTCCAATCCTCTTTTAAGGACATCCAAGTTGATGGCCACCACAACCTCCTGCAAGTTCCATCATTTAACTATAGACGATGTGTGTGAAGAAGTACTTTCTTTTACATTTAGCAACCATGAGTCACATTTGAGCCCTAAACTAATGAAGATTGGTTTGGCCCACTCTTGTGGTCTGTCTGCATTTTCTCCATAGACAACTCACACCCAAGCTGCTCCCCTTGAGCTGAGAGCCGCAGGACGAGAGCCCTTGAAATCCTGCCCTTCAAGTTTGTGACTTTTGGCTGATGCCAAAGTCTTGTGCCCTGAAAGGTGTGATCCTTAAATAATTCATGGGGAGGTGGGAAATGAAACGCAGCGGCCTCAGTCCCAGGTGAGTCCTCTGTCAGTAAACACACCAGGTCCTCCTTCCCTCCCTTTGGGGCACCTATTCCTTAGGGTCAGTAGTGTCACCCTTCTTTCTTGAAAATGGAGCCAACACAGGTGGGTGAAGCCTGACTTGACTCCAGATATACTGGAGGAGAGCAATAGCCCTCTCCTATCAAATCTTCACATTCCAAGGCTCATATATTATCTGCATTGGGTGCCCTTTACAGATGAAATGTGGCCAGCGGTTCACTTTTACACAGAGTGAGACATGCAGCCCTCTCTCCTTTTGTGATTCCCAGGACCTGGTATCCAGAGGCATCCAGAGGCATACTGCCTTGGACCAATGAAGGAATAATAATAATAATAATAATAATAATAATAATATTTGTACCCCGCCCATCTGACTGGGTCTCCACAGCCACTCTGTGTGGCTTCCAACAAAGATAAAAAAGTCACACATTAAAAACTTACCTGAACAGGGCTGCCTTCAGATGTCCTCTAAATGTCAGGTAGTTGTTTATCTCTTTGACATCTGATGGGAGGGCGTTCCACAGGGTGGGCGCCACTACCGAGAAGGCCTTCTGCCTGGTTCCCTGTAGCTTTGCTTCTCGCAGTGAGGGAACAGCCAGAAGGCCCTTGGCACTGGACCTCAGTGTCCGGGCAGAACGATGGGGGTGGAGACGCTCCTTCAGGTATATGGGGCTGAGGCTGTTTAGGGCTTTAAAGGTCAGCACCAACACTTTGAATTGTGCTCAGAAACGTACTGGGAGCCAATGTAGGTCTTTCAAGACTGGTGTTATGTGGTCTCGGTGGCTGCCCCCAGTCACCAGACTAGCTGCCGCATTCTGGATTAGTTGTAGTTTCCGGGTCACCTTCAAAGGTAGCCCCACATAGAGTGCATTGCAGTAGTCCAAGCAGGAAATAACTGGAGCATGCACCACTCTGGCGAGACAGTCCATATACTTGGAAATATATGGACAGGCATACTTGGAAGTCCCTGCTACTGTCTTTTGCTCTGTGGGTGCTTATTGGGTGTGGGTCGTAGGAAGGCGGCAGGCAGACTGCCTGTCCGTCAGGGGAGAAAGAAAACCAAATGCAGACCTCCAAAATCCAGAAGGGTGGAAGCGTTTTCCAGAGAGGAAAAGGAAAACCCAAAAAACATACCCCCCCTGCCCCATAGGAGAAGGAGGAATCCAGCAAGGACCCAGATCCCCTGAGAGATGTTGAACATTTGCAAAGCAAACACATACCCCCAGTTTGGAGGAGGAGGGAACAGAAGGAACACACAGGAGGCTATCCCCCCAACCCCTGAGACCCCTTAAGAGGAGGACAAAGAAACACACATCTTTTTTCTAATCAAGTCCCTCTTCCTCAACTGGTTTATATGCTTACTTAAAAAAAAAATGTGTTTGCAGTATTGTGTACAAATGCAGTATTGTACCACTTTAAATAATCATGGCTTCCTGCAAAGAATCCTGGGAACTGCAGTTCATTCAGGGTGCTGAGAATTGTTAGAGGAAATGTTCTATTTCCCTCAGGGGGCTACAATGCCCAGAGATCCCTGGGAATAGGGGTTGCAGAGGGTTCCTGGGGTCGCAGAGACGTTCAGGTGCCAACAGTT